GACTGGCCCGGGCGGGAAGGCGGGATTTAGGCCCCTGTACGTAGATCCCCGGGCCCCCCAGTCCGCCTCTGGCAGGAGCCTGCGGGGGGCTGTACGTGGCGGAACCGATTCAATTTCCCCCCTGACCCGCAGGTCAAGTACATTGTGTCTCGGGAGCGGGACGGCAACCAGACGGTGCGCAAGTTTACCGACCACAAGGACTGCGAGGCGTGGAGCCGCGAGAGCTGGAGCAACATGGCCCCGTTCGTGTGCGGGGCGGGCGCGCAGCAGTCGCCGCTCACCTCGCACAGCGAGGCCCTGTACGCCCTGACCGCTGCCGGCAAACTGCTGCGCGCGGAGGCCTCTGGCATCCTCCTCATGCAGCCCTTCCAGGCCAACGCGGAGATGCAGTACATGACGGCCAGGTGGGAGATTGGAGAGAGATGAATGGGGACCAGGGGAGAGGGGCTGAATTAGTCCTTCACGGTGACACTCTGCTGCAGCCAGTCGCTCGTGCTGGACCACGCGGAGGCGACGTCGCAGCCAATCGAAAGGAGCGGAGCAACGCGTACCGTGGAACTGTCCTACCAGCACGCCATAGACCAGCCGCTCAGCAAAGCCGCTGCCGACGAGGCCTGCGCCAGGGTAACAACGTCTCACTTGTACGTTTGTTCGTCCATCGCTGAAATGGGTTCTGACCGATTCGCCGTTCTTCGCTCTCCAGGTGGTAGGCCTGCTGAAGCGCCTCGTGCAGCGACTTAGCCAGTCCAACGTGGTCCCGGATACGGAGCGACTGCACGAACAGACGGCCGTCCAGGTCCTGGAGCTCCTCGTAAGCTTCAACTACACCACTCTGGACCAGCTGTATGCCTCCGTCATGCTGGGCACTAGCTATGAGCAGGAAACTATGGGGTGAGTATTTCTAGTTATTCTTTCTGGTACGTACCCTATGTAAGTTTCGAGCGTACGATTACACGCCAGCGTGAGCCCTCATTGCGTTTAAGTCTTCATCAATCGGCCAGTACACGCACAGTGCCCAAGTAGGCCTAATTAATCGGAAAACGGGTGCGCAGTGATTGAGCCCTAGGGAGGGGCATGTTGGCATGTCATTTCCTGTGACTCGCTATGTCTCTATACAATTATGTATGTACAAGTTCTTAAATATTATTTACGTGTTTTTACGGAAGGGGGGGGGGATTTTGTGACAACATGAATTTTGTTGACTTATTTCGCTTTATTCTTGCCACTATGTGACTCATAATTTTTTCGCGCAGGAACCTATTTATGGAATTGCTCCCTCAGGTGGGCACCTACGATGCGATTTTGCTCACGATAAACCTGGTCAAGGACCGCAAGGCAACCGATTGGACCGCTCTGCAGATGCTCATGGCCCTCCCATTTTATCTACGCCAGAACTCTCTGGCCCGCCACAGCGCCGAGGAGATGCTGAAGTCTTGTGAGGTAAGTCAATAGGTGCAAGGCTCATTTAAAAAATTGACAAGACTTTTGGTTCATGCGGTCCTGGTTTCTTTACTGATGGGGTTCTATCGAATTTACTGAATTAGTGTAAAGTAAGGGAAAGTGACAAATAACAGAGCGTAAAAGAGATTGTATGCTGCTTAGGGGTCGTTCACATACTACGTAGTATTGGAGGGGGGGGGGGGGCATGGGGGCACTGGGACTGGC